TGAGCTTGATACCAAGACGATGCTTTTGATTCGTCTCTCTAGGGATCTAGACGAAGTTTCTGTCCCTGCTCTTCTTGTGCTTGAGATTGAGCGAATTCTCAAGCCCGGTGGAGTTGGAGCTATGCTTGTGGGTAGCGCTGCGTTGAATTCCAACAGCTTGATTAGATCTGCCACCCCAGTTTCATCTTTACTGAAATCTTCCAATATTGTTTATGTTGGTTATGTGGAAGAGTTTACCCTAGTTGTTTTCAGGAAAAAAGTTGAAAACTTTGAGCAGAATCAAGTACTGCCAGCTGACTGTCAATCTGTTGCCAACAACAAACCTTATATGGATTACATTGAGCCTCTTGCTGAGAAAAAACCAGCAGATTTTGAGAAGAGCATTGCTTATTTGCCCAAATTTGTGAATGTCTTTTCAAAGAAAAGATTGGTGTATGTTGATATTGGAGCAGCAGAGCATCTGAACACTAGTGTAACCAGCTGGTTCATGCCATCCTATCCTGTGGACAGTAAAGCCTTTAATGTGTATTTTGTTGATCATAACACTTCGGTTATGTTATCTTATGTCAGGAAGCCTGGTATCACCTTCGTTTATCATCCGGACCTTGCGGGGAGCAAACCCAGTGCAAGTCCTCCAACTTTTGAAGATTTGGATCCGTTGTTGGAAGATGAGAGTTTTGATTTTCTTGGCTGGTTTGAGGAGACAGTGCAGTATGCTGATTTTGTGGTTCTAAAGATGAATGCAAATGAGGTAGAGCTGAAATTTCTGTCAGAGCTCTTCAAGAGTGGAAATATATGCTTTGTCGATGAGCTGTTTCTTCATTGCTCGGGAAGATCAGACTGTATGGACATATTCAAGAAGCTTAGAAGCAGTGGTGTGTATGTCCATCAATGGTGGCGGGACTAGACGCCAGCTCCATAGATGATATTATCTATCTTTTAGGTTTGAATGTTTGAATGTTTGTGTACTGAATAAAAGGCCTGCTGTTGTAAGGCTTAATCTTGTTATTGTGACTTTTCATGTTGTTGTTGTAGTTGTTGCCCACCATGGCTGCCAAATTTTCATTCTTGATGGAGTGTGAAGACTTGTAAGTGGCTTTGAGATTGGACACAACTTTATTATGAGTTCTAAATGAATGAAATTTGTATTCTTATGAATGAAATTTGTATTCTTTCTCCTATAGCTATAATAATAATATTTCAAAGCTATGATGGTAAAAAATTGCTTCTAAATTTATTTCATTCTTTAAAAATTTCCATTTACTCTTGTATGGTCTTGGGAGGTTTACTTGTCTTATAGTTTAAGTACTTTATATTTTTTTGGTTTTATTATTTGTTATTTTGTTTGGTTCAATAATACTGCTTATCCTAATGAGTTTTTTATGAGTCTACTGGACCAAAAACTTTTCAAATTCAAGTATTTACTTTTTTGGTTAGAGACCAACATCTTGGGGCTAATGTGGGTCTTGCTCAAGAGCTTACGAGTTTGGATAAATATTTAATGCGTTTCCCTACTAGAGAAATTTTTGGAAGAGAAACTATGGGTTTTTGGAATTTGTGTGCTCTTTGGCTAGAACCTTTTTAAGGGTATTAAAATACTAGTAGAAATATCAAGAAGCATTTTAGCTAATCTGATTTCAATTACAGGAAAGCATTAGGCATCATATTAGTTTATGATTTATGATATAATTTGATTATTTAGAAAAAAAAAATTTAAATAAAAGATATGTTTCTTTTTTCTAGTCTTTTTTCTTTGAATGAGTAAATAATTAAGTAACAAAGTCATTTATGAGTTTTATGCAATGAAAAAATTGAAGCTACCAAACATGTTTTCATCTTCTTCCACATTTGGTACCTAACTTTGTTCATTAAGCAACTGAATATGGCTAAATCATCAAATGAAGGAACTTACATGATCGTCATTCTACTTTCAGATCTCATATATGTTGGGTTTGGGTTCCCTCCTATGTGGAAAACCTATGTTGTTTGAGCCCACTTCTCTTGACCCATTATGACTATTAATATTTTTAACTTATACCACATTAACCCTAAGTTGATGGTGAGACAAGCTTTTAGCCACTAAAAAGAAAGAGAACAAAAGGAGAGAGAAAATGAGACTTTTTTTTGCTGAAAAATCACATCATATCAGTTTTGGTTTTTTAACGATCAGACAGTCATATGTGCTCCGATTAAGCTAAAATTTGGTGAGCATTTGGAGGACTTATTGTTTTTTATTCTAGATGGTGGAGATTTGTTTTGCATGACTGAATTTCTGGTATTTATGGTTCGAAGTTACTGTTCACTTTTTCTTTTTCAGCAATGACTAGTTTGATTTTCTTCTACGATTAGATAGTCATTTGTGGTTTGATTAGGGTAAAATTTGGTGAGCACATTCGAGATAGATTGTTCTTTGATATGAAGGTGGAGATCGAATTTGAACAACTAGAGCTTACTATTTTATATGAACAGTAGCTATTTTGATGATATTTTTTTATTACCTTGTTAATCTCTTATTGTTTGGTTGATTTGTTGTTGATACTTTACTTGAAAATTATTGTGATAGCTTTTAGTTGATGTAAATATTAATTTTTGATAGTGTAGTTCTTTTACTTAGACGTAGGAGAGATTCTGTAGTTTTTGTCCTTCACATTAAAAGAGTTTTCCACGTAAAAATTCTTGTGTCTTTGCGTGATTATTTTTGTACATTTTAGAGCAGATTTTATATTATTTGTTTGCTGAATTTCACTTAATTATCACTCCTTATAGATTCATTCAAATACTTCTCATCAAGTGATATCAGACTTTGCTTCACTAATTCATTAGTTGATTGTGAATTTTTTGCTTCTTTAAATGATAGAAGTGAATGTGAGTAAAATGATTTGTTTAGATGACACAAATTATCACAAGTGCAAAAGAAAAATGAGGATCTTCTTATTATGAAAAAGTTGCATTTACCTGTGTTTGCTTATAAAAAACATGAGTCTAAATCTGATGAAGATTGAAAATTTGAGAATTTATAAGTATGTAGTTTTTTCGACAATAAGTAGAAGATAATATGTTGAATCATATTGATAATGAAGCAAATGCCAAAATTTTATGGGAGAAGCTTGAAACTTTGTATGCCTTAAAGATTGGAAACAATAAGTTATTTTTGCATAAATAAGTTATATGCTTGCAATATATAGAGAATGTAGTTCTATACTTGATCATGTGAATGAATTTCAACGTATCTTTGAACAATTGTTTGACATGGGTGTCAAATTTGATGAAGATTTTATTGGACTTAGGTTGTTAACTATACTTCTTGACTCATGTGAAAACTTTAAAGTATCTTTGACCAATCTGCTCTTAATGTTGTAACAATGTAGTATACAAAGACAGTTGGTTACTGAAAACAGGGGGAGAAGTAAAAGTAAGGGTCAAGATCAAAATAGAACTAAAAGCAGGAGTATATCAAAATCAATGTACAAGAACATTAAATGTCATAACTATGGTGAAGCAAGGCATATCAAGAAATATTGTTATAAGTGGAAGAAAGAGAACAAGGTAGACAAAGGGAAGTAAGAGAAGAAGGGCAATGACAACAATACTGATCATGTTGCCACTACCACTTTAGATAATGATTTGGCTATACTTTATCAAGAAAATATGATCAATGTAGCCTATAATGACACCGTTTGAGCTATAGACAATGTACATCCCAATTATCTGGTGGGGTGAAAAGGAGTATGATAAAAGAAATAAATAAAAGTGCAAATAATAAAATATATGCAATGGAGAAATAAAAACCTCTCATAACAAAATCAAAGGTTCATTATACACTTGAGGCCAAAAGCTAACTACCGAAACATGAATATATAATCACTGTAATCATTACAAACATTTATCATCAGAGTGCAGACAAAATATTACACTCGTAAATGTCTTAAGGATCTAAGAAAGGATCCAAACAAGTTTTCAGGGGCAACTCAGCGAGTGAATCATCACTTTTATCATCTGAGGGAGCATAAATTGGAGGGAGTTCTATAAAATCAATTAGAGAAATAATATTTAGACTACACAGCTGAGGTTTATAAAGGTGATTAACTTTTAAAGTAAAACGGCATTTCTCAATTAAATAACTTATATAAAAAATCTCTGCAAGACAAACTCAATTCAAATATTTAGAAAATACCATTATTTTCTTTATAAAAACATATGAACATCAGCAATATATCAAATAACGAGGGTAGAGAAGATATAGAGTCAATCATAAACAAGCATTGCATTAGAAACGAGTTGAACCAACCAAGAACACAATAAGATCAAGATAAATTAGAAGAACTATCATACAAAATCACCGTAGAATATCAATAATTATTTTAATCATGTTTATCTTTTATTTAAGTCTTTTATCGACCTCCGCGCATAACCATTCTAACATATATTTACTGAGGGTAGAGAGGATTTCCACTACACTGTGATACAATCAATTTTATTTC